CAAATCTGCAAATCAATAACATTCACACAATGTACTTCAGATATTCATTAGCTTTCAGCTCTAAACCCTGTAAACCGATCATATTTCACATCCGAATTCACTAACGACATGTGACAATAAAAGTAATAACGCTTTGATGACAAAATCGGGTATTTACCACGAAAATTCGAACCGAAATTGAAAGGATTACGTGTGGACTGACAATGCATCAAAGATAATAAATTGTGACAGAGGGAGGCTTTTGTGATGAAAATATTTAGCTCTTTACAATTATTAGAATCAATATTTTATTGCAACTCATGCCAGTGAGAGAGGGAGAGATAAAGAGAGGAAGCGAACATAGGCAGAATATTGCCAGGAATATATGTACGTGAGCCGAATGAAATCGCGGACAGCCGCGCGTTGACTGCGCGCGTCCCATTCAAAAACTTTTATGGTGTTTGTCGTGAAAATTTCCAGTGAATCCCGTCATAATAGTGGCCACGTCGGGGGGGCGGGCGCTCACGAGGGCTTAATATTTGACTTTGCGCGGCGAGCGGCATAACAGGTCATCCCCAAAACGACGCGAGGGGGACGATTTTCCTTTCTGTATGTGCGCACGCGTATATATATATCATGCGTTTCACATATCTATCTCCATATATACGTATATACGCATAAAGGATACGCACGCCCGCACGTTTAACGGCTGGGGCTAAATTATGGAGATATTAGTTCATGAAACTGCATTGTGTGGTCGGCGATTTGTCATAGGAATCACACATCATTAGAGGCGCGTTCGTAAATTCGGCATAGGGTGAGCGAGAAAGCGGATGATAGTAAAACGCCTGTAATGAATTCGAGTTGCGGTAAATAGCGCGATGTGCCTTTTGTGGAAACTGCATCATTTATTTCAATCATAGCATCTGTGTAATCAGAGTCGACAATTGTTTACCAACGCTGTACATTTTTCCGAGTTCCATGAATAACGACGCAGTAACACTGCAGCCCACGACTGCAGTTAAGTATTGAAATTGTTTTCGAAACGATGCAATAATGAAATTGAGGAATTGCTATTGCGATGGCACAGCAATAAATTGTCTTATTAATACCCTAGCGCCTTTGCGTCCAACTAGTGAGTGTATTATCTTTGAACGGAAAGCAAAATGCGCCTCTTATCGTAGTTGTAAAACTTTACGCAGTTTTATCGGTACGTTATATACTGAAAGAGCACAATGTTTGCGCTTGTCATATTTAATCAAGGTCACCTTAACATTTTCATTACCACGCTGATTAGTCCAATAAAGGCACGTTGGTTTATCTTCTAAGTCTGCCTGGCATCTAAATATTTATTCGAGTGTTTCATAATTCTGTGGAAAATTTTATTTGACCGCGGAAAAAGCAATCTAAATCATTGTGCACCCAGTGGAATAAAATTCTTAAAATAATGCATTTTAATAGACCTTTTCTGAAAGGGCTACGTTGAATATGCATGCATTCCATCCGGGTGGCAGAATAAAGAGAGGCGATTTGTATTTTTAGAATGCTATTCTGTGTTCTATCGCATTATTAATTCTTTTGTCATGGTGTCACTATCGTTACGAAAAACCTTCTGTGGAATCGCATGATCAGTCGATTTCAAGTCCATCTGCTGGGGAGCAGGTGCAGGTGCTAAGTAGATTAAGGGTAGAAACGTTTTTGTTGGGTCACGTGCTCCTGTCAAAATAAATTTGTTTGCATAATCGGATTTCTATGATCGCCTTCTCCGTAATTTTTTATGTCCGATGTTCATTTTATCACAATTTGAGGGTTGTTTCAAATTTGTTTTTGGGTCGTTTGAATAATAATTGAAATTGATACGTAAGTGAAAATACTCAATAAGAAAGAAGAATAACATACTATAGAAAACGATTGCTTCATGAATAAATTGCGCAATACAAATCGTTAATTGAAATCAATTATAACCACAAATTCATTATCTACAGATTTTTGTTATAAAAGTGACAATGTAAGAATTCTTTTAATATTTAATACGTTTGTCTTTTTGATAAAAGTACAAGAGTATCAACTCTGTTTACTGCGTATAAAATTGTGAATAGAAAAATCGTCGCGACGAACTTTATAAAAATGTTATGAAGGGTCTCAAATTACGAACAGTTAATTGCTTTGCTTGTTCTCGATTAAAGCCTCAAATTTTGCTGGCGAGCACTAATTGCAAAGTTTTCTTCCACTTCAGCGCTCCCGGCGCTAAAAAAGATCCTTCTATCGACCATTTGAATTCGCAACACTCGGAAAGGAAGAACTTGAGCAAACTGCCAAGCCGTTTCGTACTCTTTCTAAATTCATATTCCAATGCCTTATGCAAAGTATAATAATCTAATGAAAAGAAAAGAAATTTAATGTCATTTCTTGACTTTTTAACGTCTATTATTACTTTTCAAAACATTCATTGCACGTTCGAACGATGTATATAGTTGAAAAAAAAATGGTCTTGTTTGTGAAATCACGCGAGTTTGAAAAGTCGGGTCGAGATTGGAAAAGATAGATTTTATTGCTTGTCACCGATAGCTGAAGAACAGCGCGGTCTTTCTCGCCCCCGTGCGCGGCGCCCACTTGGTACATATGTATATAACGCAGGCGATTGTAAGTGAGAGAGGGGTGCTCGCTCGAGTGTACGTCGGCGCAGCCCTAATTGTTTTATTCGTGCCCCCAGCATCCTCTCAATCTATTTCATCCCCTGAGCTACTCTCATTTCATTGCGACACCACCCGCAGCGTTTATCATACGCCGCTAATGCATAACAGGTTAGCGACTGCCGCCGGCGTCGCCTCAACTATCGTCACACGCTCGCTTTATCAATACATCTCGGAGAGATATTTGCTGTTTATGAAATCATCGTTTTCGCATCTTTCGCGTGTAATCGTGAAATTGGTTTAAATAAACGGATTAATTATCGAAGTCAGATCTTGTACCTCAGATATGGATTTCAGTGAAAACAGACTGAGACACTCCAGCTTGGGATTTACATTTGATATGCTATGTCAACGTTGAAACTTTGGAACAAGTATATAGATTGCTGTTAGGATTATCCATATGATAGAGTTTTGAATCTAATATAAAGGACAATTGATTCTAACCAGCGCTCGGCGAGATATATCAGTAGCCGATAAAAAATATTGCTTTTCTGATACCAACGAGAGTGCGAATGTGATAATGTTAATTCTTCTTTTTACCTGCGGACAATCTTCAGATTTTAATTTAATAAATATTATCGTTTCTTATCTATAGGGTATGTACGAGCACTATTATACCAGGAAACGTATAATCGTACAGTTTGATGGATGAATGATTAGATAAAGTGAAGCTTACGAGTGTTTAACGATGTAGCTCATACGAATGTTATTCTTTATTGGAAACATTAATTAGTCCAATTTTTCGAAGCAACATTTCAGCTCGCGCGAAAATGAGCTCCTATTACTTGACAAGAGAACATTGTATTTGTTGACAGAAGGAAGAAAAAAGTTAGCGCCTCCTATTCCACTTCGGACATCGATAGCAATGGCGGTCAAACAAGATAAAACGTAGACATACACTTGCATCAATTTGGATGTAGCGAGCGAGTAATTTTCACCGACGGACAAGGCGGATTCGCACACATACGCACACATACATAGACACGATAAAGCATATGGGTAAAACACTGTATCCCTGAAATCTCCGTGGGAATAGACACTTGGCTTCGCGTTTAAGGGTACACACACACACACACACACACACACACACACACGTGTACACGAGAAGAGAGAAAAAAGAAAGAGAGGCTTTCTTTCTACGCATAGCTTAATGCAGTGTTTAGTGTTTACATTTGGTTCTAATGGGGCGAGCTTAGCGAGATTTAAATTTGGCTGAAGCCCCAGCACATGACCGGAGGGTAACCGGACGATTTAATTTTGCTGAAGCTTTTCGTAGTTTGCTGCAACAGTAGTAGTACTTTTGCTAAGTTATATAGCCTCAAGGCTTTTTTCTACTTTTGACGTAGACTGGCCCAAAGTGGCCTAATATACCTCGCGACCTGTGCATTTTATATATATTATACTTTCGAAAGCATTTAAATGCTTGAGAAAGTTTTCTCGTAGCTGAACCTCATATCCAAATTACGATTAAATTTAGAAACCTCAATTCTTCCCATTAATAACCAAAGCCAATAACTTAACGAAGAGCAAAAGAGAGAAAAAGAGAGAGAGGGAGAGAGAGAGAGAGAGAGATAAGATCAATAATTAAAGCAGTCAGTCCACTAGTAAATCGTTCGCTAAAAGAAAATCTCTCTAGCCGCGCGCGCATCAACCAAGAACGAGGAAGAAAACAAATGAAAAGAAAGTATTTCCAGCAAAGCGACGTATCGATTGTTCCTCCCTCTTTCGCCGTCGGCGCTGAAAACAAACCATTAAATTAAAACTCCAGTGGAGATCCGCGAGCAGCAGCACACCACAACCCGAAGCCAACAGCAGCGCCAGCAAATAGTCAATTTTTCCGCAATTCTTCCTTTCGCCGCAGAGATAGTGGCTGTACATCCCTCTTTCTCTGTATCTCTCTCCCTCTACCTCCACGCACAGCAGCCTCTCTCTTTCATTTGCCGCCCCTCCACTCACGTGCATACACAATCGAGGGTGAGTGTGCGAACCCACTTAAATTTTCCTCAAAGTTAAAGCGCTGTGTATGTGCGCGAGTGTCACAATTTCTCTGGAAACCCTATTTTCCTAGGCGCGCCAGCAGCAGCGGCAGCCTTTTTCGCGCGCGCGGGGGTGGCAATCGACAGGGCGGCAGAGAGTGAGCGAGAGAGAGAGAGAGAGAGAGAGAGAGAGAGAGATAGCTTAAAGTAGTGGGGTATCTCCGCCCTCGGTGAGCGCAACGGAGAGCGCGAAGGGGGGATGTTTTGCGATCCGCCCCCCACGCGCGTTCGCTTCGCAAGGAGAGAAACAGTGAAGAGACCTTCGAATCAATTCGTCATGAGCCCTCGAGAGTCTACACGCGCGCGCGCTCCAACCAGTTCGCCGTCTCGCGCACCTTGGTCGTTTAACGCTCGCTGCTCATGGTAACAAGTGGCCATTGTTGATGTTCTGGACGAGGACGGAGCTTGTTGCCTCGACAACCGCCCGATTCTTCGTCGGCGTAATTGTACGCGCGCGGCACGTGTGCACAAGTGTAGAAAGCTGCGGAGCTGGTTTTCTTTTTTTTGTTGGTTTTATCACTTCTCAACGATAAAATTTTGTATACAGTGGTGACAATTGACCGATACCGATCAATTAGCGCACCCAATCAGATTGAACAAGCTTCGATACTGGAGCAGAGTACGTATATCGTGAAGAAATGTGACGATCGGTGAAAGGCCAAAGTCAACCTTGAAGTCAACCGCGCGTGGCACTGGAATTGTGTGGGTACTGCACCAAGTATACATGCACTTTGTAAAGTGAGAGTGTGCGAAGCGCATAGAAACTAAAAAATCATCGCTACGCCTCGCTTATCGCTGAGGAAACAAACTATTAGCGTAAGATAATAAAGAGCCAGATAACTGCACATATGACACAGGCGTATTAGCGAGGGGAAAAAAGATAGACATAGATACACGAGAAATGACATGTCGGAAGAGTCATCGTGCAGAAATAGCGCGTCAGCGTTCAAGTTCTGCTCGGCACTTGATCTGATATGGCTGCAATGACATCTTCCTAGATATCCGAGGTAAGTCAAGCGCCTCTTGCGTCGGCCACGCGCGCGTCGCGAAGCCGAAAGGTGGCAATTAAATGTCGCGTGTGTCTGTGTTTTGTCGCAGGTCGGCCATCAACACAAAGTAATTTAAATGTTGAGCATGGAGCTGAACCCCATGATGATGTCGAACGCGTCGTGCGACGGCTGCGTCGACAGCGATCGCGACTCCGACAGTAGCAGTATGATCGTCGACCCGGTGAGTCTGGACAAGAATGACCTGTCGCCAGTGCCACCGTCCAGTCCACACATGATGGCCAAAAGCGACAGCCCGATTATGGGCGGCAGTGCAGCGCGCAATCGCAATCGCAATTACAAAAAGACCTACTCGATGGCGTCGGCCACGGCCAAAGCGCACAGTGCCAAGCAGAATTATTCCTCGGACAAGTTGTCCTCGTCGCTGATCAAGCCGCCCTACTCTTACATCGCACTCATCACCATGGCGATACTGCAGTCGCCGCAGAAGAAGCTCACCCTCAGCGGTATCTGCGAATTCATAATGTCGAGGTTCCCCTACTACCACGACAAATTTCCCGCCTGGCAGAACTCCATCCGACACAATTTGTCGCTGAACGACTGCTTCATCAAGATTCCACGCGAGCCCGGCAATCCGGGCAAAGGCAATTACTGGACGCTCGATCCACTTGCCGAGGACATGTTCGACAACGGGAGCTTCCTGCGACGGCGCAAACGGTACAAGAGGCCGTCGCCGCACTACGTGCTGCGCGACCGTGCCCTCATGGCCACCTTCGCCATTTGCGGCGATCGTCCCTGTCCACCTGGCACGCACCCGAGCATGCTGCCGTACCCCGGGGCCTACTTAGCCCCGCCGGCTGGATTGCCCCTGCTCGAGTTCCCGTCGTCGGCGATCGAGGCGCTCAAACTTCGAAGCATCATGGAACCGCCGCCGCCGCTTTACAAGCCTGTGCCAATTTCCGCGCCGCCGGCCGTTCGGCATATCGTTAATAGTACGGCACCTTGCTTGGGCACCACCACCATGACGACCACGACGACGGCTGGCAGCGCGGATAAAAGGCGAAGTTTCAGCATCGACGCGCTGATCGGCAAGCAAGTGAATAACCATCATCATCACGGCAACGATCAGACGGCTGGTTTGCTGGATCTCAGTCCGTCGGAGCACAGAGAGATCAGGAGTCAGGCGTCCGCTTTCTCGCCGCTCGTTTAATCACGCTCGCTCTTGTTTTGTTATATTACATATGAACTGAGGATGACAGTAAGGAAGAAAAGACCAAAGAATTGTAATTATTATAAGCTTTTGTCGAGCGCATACTTATGCAACAAGTTCCGAATGATTCTTGCCAATTTGTAGGTTTCTTTTAGTGCAATAACTATCCGATGATGTACGCACTCACATGGTCTTTCAGTGTACTGTCACAGTTTTCTTTTCATTTTGTACTTGTTGATTTAACATGCAATATGAATTCACCTCACAGAAGTTACCAAAGTATTATGTAAACGATAAGCCATTATCTGTGTTATTTTGTTGTACTTAGAAAGAGAGAGAGAGAGAGAGAGAGAGAGAGAGAGAGAGAGAGAGAGAGAGAGAGAGGGAGAGAGAAAGAGAAAGAGAGAAGAAAAGAAGTTGCGCCTTGTTGTTATCGCATGAAGTTTCTAGAAACTTACTACTTCTATTGTACTAAGTTTCTACGGACTCGTGCTGAGATATTATAATGTACTATGATATCCAGCGTCGATTTTATTTTAATTAGCACAATTTATTTATTCCAATTTATTTGAGGTCTGCAAACTTAGTTTACGCGACGTCAGCTCTAAAACAAGAACAAAGAAAACCAGCAGCATGTAAAATACTTGGTTAAATATTGGAAAATAAATAACATCCTAATCATCCGTCGTAAAATTAATAGCCATCAAACTATTTATACACGTTGTAGTTTAAGGATATATAGTTCTGTAAATACGCATATTTTACGTTCTCTTGCGTGCTGAGCACTTAAATCTTTTGTTCGGCAGCTTTTCTATTGGGTAGAGAATAGGAAGTTAGATCGATCAAGTTATTGGTCAAAAAAATAAATATATCTAGTGTACATAAGGTGAAGTAGAATATAGCCATGTGAAGTATATTAAATATATGACTCTAATTTTTATTGTATTTTATTTGTACATTTTTGTTATCCGTCTACATTCATTTGTTTCATTGATTAATATTAAATAAATAAATTAGAATGATAAGAGAGAAGTTTCTTTCAATTGCGACCGATAATGAATATTTCACTTGGAATTTCATTTTCCTTTACATGTATTAATTACATTCTGATATAGCCTGTTGTTTTGCACGTAGGCATTTGATTGAAATTTTACTTTATCATAACATTTTGTTTTGTGATTGATAAATGATAAATTACAGAATTTTTTTAAAAGTCTGCTCAAATAATTTTAACAATTCTTCTACATTTTTATTTAAAATGTCAAATAATTATTATTTATTAGAGTTTCTTGTGAATCATTTTTTTTCAAATCTAATTTGACAAAATTTTAAGTAGTTTTTGATTGTCATTTAAAAAAAATGCTGATGCCAATATTGAGTTAGAGGAACATTTTCAAAGTAAACTGCGTTGAAAAATTGTGTATAAAAAGGTGATTGTGCATTAATGTGTATACGGTAAATTGTCTAGTGATTAAGGTTTTACGATAGTTTAGATATAAGAATGCGACATATAACAGATTTACGAGTATTAATGATAAGATGTTGGAGAAGTGGTATAAGGTGTATCAAAGAGACACTTTCAATACCTAATAGATAACAAATCTTACAAGCAACGAAAGTCATAGCAAAGTCTGACACATTCTTTTGATTTTTCAATGATAAATTGTTCCAACACACCGAACAAAAACTGTAATTTCGCATACCTTGACCGAATAATTTATCGTGACGACCTCAAGCGAAATGTATGAGATACTGTTGATTTGTAATTAAATAGAGAAGCACTGATTCCTGTAGTTTATAATATGGATGTGTCAAAACGATAGATTTATAAAATATTATAAATAAACCTCTAATAATAGTATAATAAAATACACTTCAATATATACTGGCTGGATGTCGTTATAATTTGTGGATTATCGCTTCCTGACTAGCTGCTTTAGCGTGACGGCAAGATTACGACGATATTCTGCAGGAAAAATATTAATAATTTAGGTGCATCCTCACTCAGATGCGGAGCAATTCCGCGGGCAAAAGAATTTAATTTAAAAAAGTGCGCGCTGTTGAAAAGAAAAAGATATCGTCGTCGCTCGAGTAGCATTCCGCCCGCGCCAAGTAATAACTTATTTACTCACATTGGCCTCGGAGCGCGCGCGCAAAGGCGTTGTCGTTGTCGCGCGTGGAGGTGAAATAATGCGAAGGGCAGAGCATCGCGCGGATCGCCAAGCGCGAGGAGAGAAAGAAAGAAGAGCCGAGGGATGAGCAGGTTTCCATTGCGTTTTAATCCCCTTCTTGGGCCCTGCAGGGACGCTGCGACTCGATATATATATATAGCAAAGCAACTCTTGTCGCTTGGGGTGAGAATATTGCATTCCTCGATCGTGATGAAGATAACAACTCGCTTTTCTCTCCGGGACGCTTGTAAGCTCGGCGCGTGCACAAGCCCTTTATCTCGCGTCCTTGTACGCGCGCGCCTTAACGACGCGCTTACCACCGCCAGCTTTTCCAATCTCCACGTCGCCCAAGCCCCGTGAAAATGTTTGCCCACGAATTTCGGGCATTTCCGCCGATACGTTTTTTCCACGTGCTGAAACGCTCACTTTTCATTCCTCGAGCTCTCACCGCCGAGCCGCTATCATGACAAATTTAGAGCACGTATCTTTGCTCCGTCGCTTTATGAAATCTTGTCGATGCTCAACCTCTTATTTCGCTTTCTGGTTTGTCATTCAGCTGTAGCTTTATGTTAGAGCGACATTTCTCTCCTCTTTTTTTGCCCGTCGTACTACTACTACGTCAAATTATATTATTACATTTTTCTGGAAATCCACGTACGAAACAACTGTCTTCGCGAGCCGCTCTTTCAGAAGATAATACGAGTACATAATGTCTTTATGTTGTCATCGAGAAAAAATGAAGGAAAACAAATTACCAGCTTACTATAAATGTTACTTCTTTCATAAATGAAATTTATGAAAGAAAATTCCTTGAAACATTTTTTAATGACTTCATTATCATGATTATTATTATTTCTATGAAAATGATTATATTAATATCAGAAAAAGAAATAAACAGAAATCATTAATCGTTGCATTCAGTTAAAATTGCATTAATATTTATAAACAATGAATTGATACGAAATAATATGCAGACACGATTTTCAGTTAGAGGTGACTTCTCTTCTATTTTTTAGAGTATGAAATTCCCACAGACGACTGGCCATCTAGTTGCCTTTGCATCGTAAGTTACGTAAGAAATTTGACAATACACATTTGAAATTGATTTTAAGTTGACTCGGTTATTGCAAAGTATATATTTGTAGATGGGTTTTAATTACGAGATAGCTCGAGCAAGATACTTGACGGCAGATTATACTATAATGAGAAAGATTATACGATGTACAAGGGACAACACAAAGACGAGCGAATCTCGAAGCCGGTTCCCATGGTGGCGCGCGCATTACTCTCTTTTGCTCACTGAACTTACACGCATGAGCATTATTTACCCTTAGAATGGGAAATAATCTAAATGCAAAAAAGGGACACACGATGAGCGAAGACTAGTTTGCGCGCCTTTAGATACCCAGCGGGCTCATATCCGTGGTGACAATACAAACCGAAACAAACACTTACCGGCACGTGCCGGCCACGCGACTACCGGGATATATTACATTCCGTGTGCACACACACTTGACAACCGATTGAAGGGCTAACTGTAGTGTGCATTGGCGACAAATTACACGTCGAACGCCTTCGATTATTTATTTACTTATTTTCAACTAATTTTCCGCCCTTCGGCAAGACCTTGCTCTTGATACTTTCTTCAGCAGTGCTTTTACGTATTAAATAATATGACTTGGAATATATTCTCACAGAACTCTTTCAAGTAGTATCTTACCATTAATGAATTTCTAGTGAATACTGTAAGTAGCAATTAACTCATTTACTGCACTTTAGAATTCATAATATATAATTAACAGAACTAATTATTTCAATGCATCCTGAAAAAATGTAGATAGTTCATTTCGTTTAGAAAAATTTAGTACTCTCCAGAAAAACATACAAGCCTAATTTAACGACATTTTCACTCCTTGTTTTTCTTAAAAAATAAATCAATTCCTTAAACACAACGAGTGTTAATTAATTAAAATTAATCAACAAGCACAATTCCCAGTTAAGGCCTATACTTGAAAAATATCATTCAATGTTAATATATAAATCCTGAAAATGCCATGAATAAGTGAAGTTGAACTTGATCAGTGGGCTCTGAACTTCGTTGGCCTCGCAAAACTTTGGTGTGAAAACCGAAAAGAATCAACGATGAAGCGCTTAGCTTGATTGACGATCGTCGCTATGAAAAGGGAAGCAGCAAAATGCTCTATCGATATGGCGGCTGAATTCGTTGTTGGTATGAGAAAACCGCAATTGGATTCATCGCTGCTGAAATCAAATGTTTACTTGGCTACGTTTTCTAAAAACCTGCTACTACAGTTTAGCAGGCAAATAATTTAGTAATGCAAAAACTACGTTTACATTCACTTTTCATCAGAAGATGTTAAAAATGATATATCATTAGAATTTAAATATTCTAAACTCACTTTATTTTACAAAGTAAGTTATGAAATTATCAAACAAGACACGGCATATAGTATATGCAAAAGCATAACCAGACACAGAATCATTATATCAAGAGTTAACTAAACTATTACTTTGGGAAGTTACAGACGTGTGGTTTCTAAAATATTTAAAAAAATTTTAAATACATGAACAATAAATAAAGACAGACAAATAAATTTAATAAAAAAATGGATACAGGACAATACAATTACACTATTGGAGATGGGCCTTTTATGCAAAGATAGGTTACTGAAATAAATTTATGTGCTTTGCATCTTTAAAGGATTTACGCTGTCTATTTCCAGACTTCAACATGGTAGACGCATTGTCTAAATAGATTAGAAAAATTTTGCAATGGCGCTGAACTCGATATAAAATTAACGATTGTATACTTCAGTTTTCATGAACAAAATCTTTAATGATTAATCACTATTTATCGGTCCTCCTGCTATAAACAAGTAACTGTTTTATTATAGATAACAATTGTGAAAAAATAAACTTGTAAAAACATCAAATAACTAGACACGGAAAAACAATATACGAAATAAAAGAAGATCAAAAGCTAGGCAAAAAAGAAAAAGAGATATAGAGAAATGTACGAAGTACAAAGTGATCTTTGAGAGAGAGAATTAACTGCGCACTAAAAATAACATGGCGCCTGTTATTACGCGGGGTGGGAGAGAACGACGTGGCGCAGGGCCTAGTGCAAGCTCTCCTCTTCAATGAGAGAAAATCAATGCTGACTGCGGCGGGAGAGATAGACACACTCGGCGCGAATGAAAAGCGCGAGAGGGACTCGAGTTATCCCGTCCATTGGTGTGCATAAACGCGCACGCGTACAGGGACACAGGGCTCCAAGCGAAAATGCTTCTCGTCTTTTTCCGCCTCTTTCTCGCATCCTCGTGCTTAAATACATCCTGGCGACGAAGAAAATTTAGACAAGTATGCCGCGAGACAGAAAGACTGAGAGAGAGAGAGAGAGAGAGAGAGAGAGAGAGAGATGGATAGAAGAAAAAAGAAAGTGGTATACAGAGGTGGGAGGTTGAAAAGGCATTTGGTACGCGTGTGTACACGAGAGATAGAAGAAGAAGAGCTGCTTCGTATATGGCTGGATATCTGTCTCTGTTCTCTTTCGACCATGCGAAAACTTTGTCCAAGAATCTAATATCATCTCTGGTACACACGCATTCTGGAAATTCCATAGTCCGAGGCATCGTGTTGTGTGTAGGTATGGGCCAGGCAGTCACAATACAATCGCCCCGTGTGTATGCATCAAAAGATTCGCTCCTGGAGAATCGCATAACGTTTGCGCGCATACGTACACAGGCGCAAGCTCGAGCCACCAAGCGGGCTTGCGCCTATGTAGTCGTGTACGTGTGCGCGTGAGAGAGGAGGACGAGCTTGCAGCAGTTGCTATCTTAGCCACCACAAAGCAGTGATAATATTTTCCCTCCTGGAATAGAAGCCTAGCAGCCCTCCCTCATGCTGGCGCTGTACTCTCTGGCAGGCAGGCGGGCAGCAGCGGCGGCATCAGGTCGATATTACGCCAACTCGGTGCTAAAGCTTTCGGTCGCCGGGGCAACTGCTAGGCTCGAGACCACGCCTTCGCCAACATGGCCGTGTCCCGAGCATTTCTAGCTTCCCCACTCTCGGATCTACTTTTCGCGAGCGCAAGCGCACATCCCTCTATTTTCCTCCCCTCTTCCTATATTTCCATCCTCTCACCCTCTCTCTCTCTCTCTCTCTCTCTCTCTCTCTCTCTCTCTCTCTCTCTCTCTCTCTCTCTCTTACTATCTACGTCTCGCGCTCGCTTTTCAACTCCACAGACAGAAGCTTGAATTATCATAATATTGGTCATTGTCTCGGTTGGATGAGGTGAGGCGCCTCCCAAAGCGAAACCAACTCAAGTGTCTTATACCACCCCTCCCCTGCCACTCTAAACGCGAATAAGCGTAAATAGTGCGCCTGCGTAGGCAAAGCTGTAAGTCAGAAATGTTAATACGTTAAATAATTTTGTTGGATCTTTGTCGGATAATCAAACGGATTCTTAAATTGATGAAAAGTTAACTGATTTCTTACTGACGTTTGATATTTAATTCATATATCTGAAATTTGTTTGTGATTTGAAAGCTTAGGTGTCAGTGATAATTAAAACACGATTAAAAAGATCGATCGGTCCGCATGTATGTTAAATTCTACGCTATTTTTTCAATACTTGCAATGCAAGAACG